CGAAGCCTTTTGTTTCTGGCGCGGGGGGAGCGGGTAGCCGTACAGATCCTTGTTCCCCTCAAACGACGACGCGTTGATCTTCGGCAAGTTCCCGCTCCGGTTGGTGAGCGTGGCGGGGATTGGCCCCGACAGGCGGTTGTTGGACACGTCGAAGGCGGAGAGGCGTAGCAGAAGTCCCAATTGCTGCGGAATCTGCCCCGTCAGAAGGTTGTCGTGGAGGTCGATCACGTTGAGGTAAGCGCACATTGTGAGCTGCGGAGGAATGGGCCCGTTGAGGCGGTTCGACGAGAGGTTCAAGACTGCGAGATTGACGAGGTATTGCAAGTCGGTCGGGATAGGGCCGGTGAGCGCGTTGGAGGAGAGGTCGAGGGCCTGGAGATTGGTGCAGTTGGCGAGGTACGGGGAGATTGAGCCGCGCAGAGAGAGGTTAGTGAGAGAGAGCTTGTAGATTCGGCCATTGTTGCAGGTCGCGCCCCGGAGGTACGAGGTGAAGCCGTTGCAGGGGTTGGCGAAGGTCGCCTTCGTCCAGTTCTGGAGCGACCGAGTCGGGTCCTGTATCGACTCGCTCAGGTGAGTCAGGCACGCCTCGTCGCTCGGATCTGACGACGTCGTACGGAGGGCGGCGCACGTTAGCACGCTCGCCAATAACGCTCTCCAAACTAATCCTCCGCCGCCGCCGCCGCCCTTCATCGGATTGGATTTAGTTCTAGAGAGAGAAAGTTAGGGGCAGAATATTTTTTTCTCTCTTTCGTTAATTATTTGTTCTTCTCCATATTGACGATGAACAATTTTTTTTTTCTTCTTTTTTCACAGGCTCTGCATATATGTTTTCTATTCGGTTAAATAGGTGTACTAAAAAACAATGTTTGGGTAGAGTGAGTGTGTGGATGTATTCCGTGAAAGATATAAAAGAGGAGAGAGAGAGAGAGAGAAGAAGGCAGTGAGGGGGAATTGGTGAAAAGGAAAGTAGTAGACACGAGTGAGTCTTGGGGTTGGGTTGGGGGGTAATCTGCGCACACGAAAGGCGCAAGACAGGCCCATTCAGATTGGGCACTTTCGTCATTTCGTAACTCAGCTTCTCCTTCTCTCCCCTCATTTGATACGTTCAGGGAAGTGGGAAAAAATATATAAATATATATAAATATAAATAGTACAATTACGCGGAGACTCCTCCTCGACCCTCGTTTACTTTTCAATGTTGCGACCTCATCTGTGTTGGACCATCCGTGACCGTCCGATCTAAATACTTTATGTGGTGGATTTTGATATCTGGTTCCTCCCTAGCCACTCGTTGTGAGGCACTTTCATATTTTGTCTCTGAGACTTTCGCTCCCATTGGGTTTTTGGATCATGTGGCGATACTCTACCTTCATTAAGTCACCGCAAGTCCTCCACTCTAAAGAGGAAATTGTGGGCAGAATGAGAAGATTCCTACTGTAGACTACCAAAAGAAAAATAAAGTTACTCAAAAGTTTACGTGACCGTTTAGTTTGCTGATTTAAATTTTTAATTTGAGTTAAAATGTGACTTTATGTTTAGAGTTTTTTATTGTAGTAAAAAGTTAGATGCGACTGTTTTTTAAAACTTTTTACTGTAGTAAAATTCAAATTTTAAACTCGAATCGGTGAAATGAACGGAATCTATGTTTACGTTAGATCTATAATAAAACTTTATGTTCATTATTTTGTATATTTCTTCTGTTTGGTGTGGTAAAAAACTGACTCTATCAGTAAAGAGATCATATTAAAGAAACTCTCTAAATTCATATAAAAAATTATTTATTCTGTGTATTTTTTCATTTTGATGTGAGTTTAATCATATAAAATGGCTATAAACGCGGATTATTAAAAGAGCATATTTAGTATACGAGTTATGCTATAATATAAACTTATAGTTTTAATTTTATTACAGTGTTGTTCTCTCGTTAAAAATTTAAACTTTAAAAGTCATAATCAAAAACTCTAATTTGAACTTATATACCAAATGAGCGAGAACTAAGATATGCATGATAAAAATAAAAATAAAAATTCTCGATGATATACAATTTTATTTCCCTCGATGAAATAATTCTATTTTTCAATTCGTTTAATAATATTCATTAAAAAACTATTTTCTGAAAGTTGTTTTAAAACTAGTTTAGTTTTTTCTTGGGAGAAAGAGAAAAATAGGTCAAGACTTGAGATAAATTAAAATTAATAGGCCAATAATTTACATAAGTTAATAAACAGGCCAAATTACTGTTTTCGTTCATAACTTGTCTGGTTATGAACCATAACTTGATAAGTTATTGTCCATAACTTTTCTAGTTAGGAACCCTAACTTGACAATTTTATCCATAACTTATCTAATTATGAACCATAACTTAACAAATTATGACATATTAATTTCTATAATTAAAAATTGACTTATATACTTTCTTAAGCTTTTCATATTAACCTATTTCTTATTATTTTCTTTTTTTCTTTTCCTTTTCCTTTTCATTTTTTGCTGAAAACACAATCTAGCCTCGAATCCCGTTTTCTTCCTTGTGTATAAATTTATGCGTTATTCCGTTTTCCGTATTCAATTTGTACAAAACAGTACAAAAATTGAAAACTCAATCGGTACAAAATAGTACATTAAAATAAAAAAATAAAAAAAACCTAAGATTACCGACCGGTGACAGTAGCTATTAATGTGAAATGTGGATGTCTTTGCCAAACTTCCTTTTTAGGCGTGTCATCAAAATCACATTTCGGTGTCCTACCGAAGAATCATAATAAAAAAATCATAAATTGAATATTAAAAAAAATAATGAAAAAACCATAAATTCTGTGCTGTGCAAACATATTTTTGATATAATTGAGCTAACCCCAAAAAAGTTCTTGCATGCTAATTTTTAGTTTAAGGGTACCATATTTGTCATATTAAGTTGATTTTTTTCAGTAAATAATCTTGCGTATAGTGGTGCTATTAATTATCTATTTATACCATAAAAAAACTACCTATTTATTGCATTTAAAAAGGAAGTGCAATGGAAAGTGAAAGACAATAACGTTGGTCGAGTTGAATTTTTTTTTTCAAGAAAGAAAATTTAAAAAAAAAAAAAAAGCATTGTTGGTGGAGTTGTCCTGATTAGAATTGATGGCTATGTATTAATTTTTTTTTTTTTTCAAGTCTTGGTCAAACTTAGGAATTCCTTAGTCAACGTAATGCTCACTTATTTAGGGAATTGGCTATGCAATAATCTTCTTCACGAGATGCTTGAGCACTGAAATTCTTCTATTAAAATATTAATAACTAATGGGGTTACGTAAGTAAGCTTGTCAGTAAAATAATAATAACAATAATAATAATAATAGTGATAAGATTACCGTTTAGTTTGTTGATTTGAGTTTTTAATTCGAGTTGAGATGTGACGTTATGTGAGAACTTTTTACTGTAGCAAAAAAGTTAAATTTAACTGTTTCTGAGAGTTTTTTACTGTAATAAAACTCGAATTCTAAATTTAAATCGGCGAAATAAACGGGCATACTTTTATACCGTAGTTTCCAACTTTCTACACTTTCGGCAATATGAAAGTATATACACGTAACACGATCTATATGGGTTTCATTGATTTCGATTTGGACTTTTGATACATGATTTTCCACGTATTCATTGTTTGTCACACATTTTTTTCACGCTAATTTCCACCTAGCTATTACTTTTTAAAAGAATTTCCACGTGTTTATTCACCCTTTTCTTACAACTACATATTTTTATAGTTTTTACCAATTAACAATTTAACAGTAAATATAATATACATTTCCTCTTCGAAAAAGAATATACCACATATATTCATCACTAGAAAAAAGAGAGTGAAATAAAGCGTGGGAAACAAATAGTCCAAAAATTACAATATTTAATTTTTAAGGGATTCTCTAATAGAATTAGAAAAAATAACTACTGATAATTTTATATTTTCAGTCGTCATATTTATATTAAAAATTATATATTCTGTATATTTTCTTAATCTGATATGATTTTAATTAAATCTAATAGTTATAAGTTGACACTATTAATAAGACAATCTTATCAAAAGAACTCTCTTATTTTTTTTATATAAAATGAGGATATAATTATTTATTGACAAACACGCGGGTGCATCAATCAATATGCCACGTTGAACCAAGACATTGACCTGAAAACGACCAAATTTGTTTTCAGCCTAAATTTGTAGCAAAATGTTTTTGTGTGCTCCTTTTTCAAAACAATGTGAATTTTGCACTTTTAAGATAGAACTTAAATGCCGAACGATTTTAAATGAGAGAGATTCTTTGGTACGTGTAGCGTATCGGTATATTATATTTTTTAAACCGTTAGATTTACGTATTTTTTTAACTTTTACGTGGTTTTAGACAGATCTAACGGATAAAAAACTTAGTCTATCGGTATGTTAGTGTACCAAAGAAGGTACCTTTAAAATCTGGTCAAAAGTCAAATCAGATTGAAAAAATAATACAGATTTGGTTGCTGATAAACAGAGAACACTGGTGTTTTCAAAAAAAAAAGAACACTAGAGAAATTTCCTAATATATTTTCACTTCCTTTTGAAATTATGAATAAATTCAAAATTAAGACAATCTAAACATTAATAGTGATGCGTATGACCTCAAATTATAAGAAAAGTTGTGATCCTAATAAACAATTAGTTCCACCAATAAATTTTAATAACACATTTTAAGAGAACAAAAGTATGCCAGATTTCAAAATCGGACACACAAATAGATAACCAAGAATCAAGTATATACACATTTTTTTAACAAAATCTCTGCAATTGATGGCAAAATTCGATTGATTAAGATCAAGAAAACCATAACATCGAGTCTAATACAAAACACCGCTAAGCATTAAAACCAGCAGATTGAAAACTAAACCTAACACTAAAAAACGAGACAAATACACTACTAAATTAGGGTTAAGAAAAATATTATTATAAACCAAAACATAAATAAAATTAAAAAAAAAAAAAAATTAAAAAAAAAAAAAAATTAAAAAAAAAAAAACTCCGAAGTATTGCAGTCATAGACTTCAACAATGAGACGAATAACAAAAAAACCACCAAAGAAATTAGTAGAGCTCGAGAGACAAAGAGCACAATGCGCCACCTGAATAGTGGCATGTGAACCCACACTTCACTACCATATCAAAAAATACCCTTAGACGTCCCAACCCCTCTCACTTGTTTTTCTCTAGGACCTTCAATTATAGGTATCCTTTTCATTAATATCTAACTCAAATAGGGCACTATCAATATGTTTATATGCTTTGCTAATCGTCAATAAGGGTTGGCTAATTAATGAGAACTTTTTTTTTTCTTGGCTAATCATCGAATGAAAATCATGATATTAGTTTGGTCCACTTTTTAGTCAAAATTCGGTGGGAGAATAAAAATCAAGCGTTGATTAACGTTTTTCTTTTATTGATGACGAAGGGTTTAGAAAGTAATAATTAGTTATTTAGGGCTCGCTTAGTTCGTTGATTCGAATTTTTAATTCGAGTTGAGATATGACTTTATGTGAGAACTTTTTACTGTAGTAAAAAAGTTAGATATATGATTGTTTCTGAGAGTTTTTTACTGTAGTAAAATTTAAATTTTAAACTCAAATATGTGAAGTGAACCGAGCCTTAAAACCAATAGCAAAGCTAAGGAAATTCTGAAGAAAAAAGAAGAAGAAGAAGAAGAAGAAGAAGCAATCAAGTAAAGATTGGGACAAACAAAGTTGGGCTGAGGAATCTCCACGTAGTTCCCTAAGCGGCCTGAAACTATGCGAAATATGTTTGTATTCCAATATCGTACCAAAAATGTGGTCCAAAACCAAAATGAAATGTTTCTGCCGAAGTAGGAGACACTAAAGGACCAAATTGTCTTTGGTCAAATTCAGAAATGATTTTGAAACTTGCTTTTCAATATTTCAGG